GCATGCCACTTGTCAAGAAATAGCATTTTATAAATTCAATTTAGAAGTAAAAATAAGAAACAGGCCAAACTGCCAAAAAAAAAATCAAATACAGTGTAACATGGGACAGCCACAGTGAATGGCCAAAATATTACAAGTTAATGATCCAACAACATGAAAATTGCTGGATAATCAGCATTAAGTAAAAGTCATTAAAAGTTTTGTGACTTATGATACAACATGTCTGTCTGAAGTAGAATCAGAGTATTCAAGCATGTGCACCTGTATGTAAGCACATGTATAGTAATTAAGTTTGTAGGGAGATCTCCTAGGATATATTCCCTAAAAAAAATCACTAATGCTAATAGTGGCAACTAGATAGAACTTAATTTGGATGATCTATCAGACAGCCAAGAGTTTCCTCAAGCCCAATGATGTGGGAAATTCACACCTAAGCTTCAATTTTACTTGCATTATGAATATATTAAGATCAATTATTGATTATAATCAAGAACTCCTCTCAGGCAGAAGCCTGTAAAACAGACCTATACAGATTACACCCATCACTCTCCTGCTGCACAGAACAGATTACTCTCCTTTGGACATACCCATTTCTACATTTGTAACTAGATCAGAAACAAAAGGCTTCAATGCAAAAACCACAGCTGTAAGAGATGTAAGGGTGTTTTTGCTCATCTTGTTAGACTATTTAGGTGGATTTGTTTAGACTCTTGTAGAATTAACAGGACATTATAGGCTATGTCTACACTGCTGGTTCTGCCAGCAGTGAGTATGCAAATGAGGCATGAATTAGTATAGTGCCTCACCTCATTTGCATAATATATGCACGCCATTTTTGTGCAAAGATTTTTGTGAGGGGAAAAAAGTACTGTGGACTTTTTTTTTTTGCACAAAAAAAACCCTTTTCCCACCAGATCCTTATGCCCCAAAAAAGATTTACTGATCTGGCAGGAAAAGGGTTTTTTGTGCAAAAAGAAGACATCCACACTAATTGTGTCCCCCCGCCCCCGGCAAAAACCCTTTGCACAAAAATGGCTTGCATATATTATGCAAGTGAGGCAAGGCAATATGCTAATCCACGCCTCATTTGTGCACTCACTGCTAGCAAAACCAGCAGTGTAGACCTAGCCAGTGAATTACTCTTTGTTGCTATTCATATTTAATAGGAACTCCTTGATTGACTCAAATTTATGAGTGACTGCCTAAGTCTTGTGTAAGTGAATCCAAGCATTTAGCTTACTATGCTCACCTAATTTTAATTAATGCATGTTTTACCTTCAGTATGCTATACAGTTTCAGAATGGAAACTGATTTAATTACAGGACAGAGTCAAGAAAAAAGCAGATCTATTTACCCTACAAAAGAAGAGGTTACTTACCTCGTAACTGTAGTTCGAGATGTGTTGCTCATGTCCATTCTGATTAGGTGTACGTGCGCCGCGTGCATGGATTCCGGAGCTTTTTTCCTTTAGCAGTATCCATAGGGCCAGCAGGGAGCCCCCTGCAGTGGCACCGGTATACCGGTGCATATATACCCCTGCCAGCTCCTTCCGACACGGGGAGGTGGGTGGGATGCAGAATGGACATGAGCAACATCTCAAAGAACTACAGTTACGAGGTAAGTAACCTCTTGGAGTGCTTGCTCATGTCCATTCTGATTAGGTGAGTCCCTAGCCGTGTCCCCCCTCCAGAGGCGGGGTCGGACAGCATCCTCCCTGGCCAGCTGCGTGATTGCATAATGCTCTGCAAAGGTGTGCACCGATGACCAGGTTGCTGCCCTGCAGATTTCCAAGATTGGCACGCAGGCCAGGAACGCCGCCGACGTTGCCTGGGCTCTAGTGGAATGTGCTGTTATGCACGGCGGTGGTCTACCCGCGCCCTCGTAGCAGTGTCGAATACAGGAAGTAATCCACGAGGATATACGCTGCGTTGAGACTGGCTGGCCACACATCCTTTCCGCCACTGAAATAAACAATTGATTTGACTTACGAAAATCT